CCAAGGCCTTCCCCCTGAGAAAATCTAAGTAAAATTACTAGACTGGAATAATAAAGTATTATTTGAACAGTTTTAACAACAAATAAGTAATTTATGGGGTTTTGTAAGTCACTAAAATAAAGGCTATTTCCATTTCCCCAAAAAAAAATTTACAGAAAATTTTTCAGTTCTGCCTGAAATTATTACCTCAAGCAGGAAGCATCCAACTTCAAATATTTCTGCAATGCCATAAAAATAGTTCTGAACCACAACTTTTGTACACCAGATATCATTGCTTTAAGCAGACAAACTGAAGTGCCTCTTCTGAGACCTTTTAACTCTTGGAGGTCAACAGCATTAAAGACTTCCCTACAGTTCTATCTACAGACTGGATTGCCAATATGATCTTGCTGCGTGCTTTTACCAGTCAATGAAGGTGATTTCCGCTCCCCCCCCGAACAGATTACATGATTATAAGCAATAAAACCAGGAACAGTAGTATAGCAATCACACAAAGAGGATACAGTAAACAATAATGAATTAAAACCCAATGCATAAATACCTTGAATGCAGTCACATGTTCCCCAACACCTTCTATTACACCAGCCACGTCTGAGCCCGGAGTATAGGGTACAGCTGGTTTTCTAGCATGATTTCCAGACCGAATATATGTCTCGACAGGATTTACTCCACAGGCATGGACTTTAATTAACACCTAAAAGAAAAGATGCTTCTTAAGCAATAATTAAAAAGATTTAGAACTTGAATTCACAGCACAGTATCATGGCATTTTAACCAAATTCTTAAACAGAGTCAGCAAAAATTCAGTGTTGAACTGAAGCTATTCCATATAAAGGATTTCCTAAAAATATGTAGCCCATATAACAGTAAAAAGCCCACATTTGTTAAACGTGATGTCTCAGGTAGTATGAATACACTGATCAAAAACTACATGTTCAAGATTAAAAGTTTTGTTTTGTATTCTTCATTCGGTTCTGAGTGTACCTGTATCATTCAATATCATTATTTCAGTTCACAGAACTCATATATACCTGATTTTCTTTTGGATCAGGAATTAAGACATCTGACTGGAGTTTAAGCACTTCAGGGCCACCAAATTCAAAAACTCTGACAGCTCTCATCACATTTCTTGTGGCTGCCATAGCGATCAGAATATCTGGGGGGAGGGGGGAAACAGTAATATTGTATTGCCTTCGTAATTTATTTTGCATCTTCAAAAGAAAGAAATCAAACAACCGCCTGTCAAGCAACTGAATAAATAGAACCTCACTCCTGATTTAAATTTGGGGTTTGTTT